TTCTTATAGGCCTTAATTCAGATACTGAAGATGAACTCAAATACTTTGGCCACCTAATCAGAAGGAAGGACTCACTGGAGAAGACCCTGATGCGGGGAACAATGGAGGGCAAAAGGAGAAGGGGACGGCAGAGGATGAGGTGGCTAGAGGGAGTCACTGGGACAGTGGGTGTGGGCTTGGGTGGACTCCAAGGATGATGGAGGACAGGAAGGCCTGGAGGAATGTTGTCCATTGGGTCGTAGTGAGACAGGCATGACTTTGCGACTAAACAACAAGGCCTTAATTTACCCAACTGTGGAACCAAGAACCCATTTGGTAGCCCTTTCCACCCCTTTAGAGAGCACTGCCATTATATTCTGTTGTGGGAACCAGGGTGGTTGACTCACCTTTCTGAGAGTGCCAATGAGCTTACCATAGGACAAGAGAATGATCGTTAAAGGAGCCAGGAAGCAACAAATGAAGAGACACGTGTGGTAACTGCGGCTTTTCCAGTCTTTTCTGTGCCATGCCGGAGCACAATTGGAGGCTATGCCTTCCACGTCATAGCTACTCCATCCGAAAAGTGGTGGGATAGTCCACACTGTAGACCAGAGCCAGGCAAACAGGAGGGCCAGTATGGCATGTTTCTTCCCAAACTGGATGGCTTTGAATGGCCTGCACACCACGAGGTACCTCTCCACAGCACACACAGCAACTGACCAAAGCGCCACCAGCCCTGCAACAGGAGGAAGGAACAGTGCTGGTCGCTCTGCATGGAAACTCTGCATGGCTGCTGCCATCACAGTGACAATATACAAAGTTGTTTATCGGCACTAGGTCTGCACTAGATTGCTTTAGCACCCCTTTCTCTGCCCATTCCCTGAATGTCAGGAGGGCTCTGTGGCCAGGAGCACCTTCTATCATCTTCGGCTGATATATCAGCTATCTCGACAGGCATAACCTATCAAGAGTTATCCATGCCCTGGTAACCTCATATCTGGACTAGTGTAACATGGGGCTGCCCTTGAAAATTATCTGGATACTTCAGTTGGTACAGAATAGGGTTGCTCACCTATTGACAAGGACTGGTAAGCAAGAACATATAATGCCAGTCCTTTATTGTTTACATTGGTTCCCAAATGAAGTCCAGCCCAGGTGCTTCCACTGAAGTACAAAGCCTTAAACTATTTAGGACCTGGATATCTGAAGGAACATCTCTTCCTTATGTCTACTGGACCCTAAGGTCATCCACTGAGGTCCTTCTCTGCAGGCCACCTTTAAAAGATGTAGAGAAGATGCCACAAGGGTGGCCTTCTCAGTTGTGGCACCCCAATGGTGGAATCGGCTCTCCAGAGAGATGCATTGGGTGCCGAGTCTTTATGCTATTCGGTAAATGTTCTTTTTATTTTCCCAGTATTTTAGTTAAATAAGATAAAGTTCTATGTAGTTTTATACTGTCGTTGGATCACCTGAATTGTTCATTGTTTTTATTTATTTATGCATTTTATTTAAACTGTATTGTTTCATTGTGCTGGGTTTTTAATCTTGCTGAAAACCATTCATAAGAGCTACTGGCTAAGCAGACAGTATATACTTTGCAACCAGCTCCCCAAAGTTCACCTGGCACCTCTTTGTATTCTTTTTGGCACCAGATTAACTTTTTATTTTCCCAATAGTTGAACTGTTAGAATGATTTAAATGGTTTTAATATTTTATATCTGACTATAGAGTGTTGTTGTGCCTTTTCTGTTGATCTTCGGTTCTGTTTAGTTTTACTTGTTAGATTTTATTGCTCTAACAGTTGCTATTTTAATTGTATTTTAATTGTATATTTCTTCATTTTTGACCCACTTTGTGGCCAATGCGGTGGGCTAAAAGTCCAAAAATAAATAAATCCTACCCTACGGCACAAGGCAGAAAATGCCCTGCAACTGCCAAGACGCCCCAACTAGATTAATAATGTGTCCTCAGTGTGAGATGGGCAGCCCACAGTCATGTTCACACCGCGTTCCTCTCTCGTAGGTTAAGGGGGGGTTCTTCGGCCAAGGCCACCCCAAAAACTCGCCCACGCCTGCAAAGGAGAGGCCGGTCCGTGCAGAAGTTGCAGCGGTCTAAGCACGTCACAGTCCCGCCTTCCCTGATCCTACAAAAGACTTGCCAGTCGCGGAGGAAGGGCGAGAGGGCCACGGCGAGAGAGGCTTGCAAAAGGCCCCCCGGGAGAGGCGGCGGTGCGGATGTCCTTGAGGATGGTCCCTTCGCACGGCCACCCTCAGAGGGAGGCTTTTCTCTCCGGAGGGAGAAGCGCGGGAGGGGGGATCGCAGATAAGGCAGCAGGTCAAAGCTCAGGGGAGCGAAGCCTTCCAGCAGGAGTGTGTGCCGCTCCTGGCCCGGAGATTTCCTTTCCGCCTCTTCTCTTCGGGCCCCTCCCTGCCCCTTCCTCCTCCATCAGGAAAGATCTCCCAGTGGGCCTGAGGCTCTCCCCCCAACCAGAGCTCTGGTTGCTGAAAGAGGAGTACCGCCGCACAGCAGGCAAGTTCGTCGCACCGGCTTCTGCCTTTGTGGAAACGAACTGAACCCCTCGCAGTACCTGGATCATCGTCCAAACCACTCACTGCAAAGGAGGTTGAGCATTTCACGCTCCAGAAATTCAAGGATGGCATTCAGATGCAGGCTTTCAAAGAAGTCCCCACCCACCGGTATAGGATATTTAGGCACTGTGTTACCTTCACACTAGAGTTTAACACAGTATTTGCCCAGAATTCTGGGAATTCCCCTCATTTTAAACAAAATGTTATCCATAAATTTCCAATACATTTGGGATTAGGAAAAACGCTAGGAAGCTGTCTCAATGCATACCGCATAGCAAAAACAAGCGATTTGGAGGGGACTGCTGGTCCCATGCATGAGTAAGTTTCTACTCACACACACAATATGGGGCTTGCATACTTCAATGCGCATACAGGTTCCTCCAAAGGTGTTGTTTGGCCAGCAGAATAGGCTTTCCCTCCCCTTGCAGCCCCCAGATCGACTCCAGAAAGTTTGAGGACCCTCCTGAGCAAAGGTGGGTATATGCATGCAGCTGCAGCAAGGAGAGGAGAGGAGAAATCCTGTTGCATAAGTGGATGCCTGCGCACAGGCCAGTGGAGCCACAGACTGTGCTATTAGGCGTGTAGCACGTATTTCATTCCAAGTGAGAGAAACACTTACCAAACAGAGCAAGACAGAATCCCTGGAAGATGCAGAATGATGTGCTTTGGAAGGAATATCCTTGTAGATTAGCATCCATGGCAGGACAGAGTCCGATGACTATGCTGAGCATGTCTGCGACTGACAAGTTCACCACAGCATAGTTAATAGGAATCCTGAGAAACTTGTGCCTGATTGTTAGTATGATGACCATTCCGTTGAGCCAGATGCCCAGGAATGTACCAAAAATCATTAGCACTCCAAGACCAAACTTGTATTTCTTTTCACTGGCCAATTCCAAGCAAGCACTGGAGTTGCATGTTGCATTGGATCCAAGGAATACTGAGGCATTCAAAGCAAACCTAGAATGATTCATTTTTCCCTTTTGTTTCATGAGAAGTCATCCCTGTGCAAAGGATAATAATCTCTTATAATTCTCCTGTTATGCTTCTTACAAAAGGCATTGCTACACTAATACATTATCCCTGTCATTAGCATGCAGTTTCTGTGCCTGGAAGAAGGATGTGTAATAAATTTAAAAGCCCTGGAGCCAAGTTATTTAAAAAGCACATTTGCTATTATTATAAGAACAGGTTTGTTTTTATGCATCATACCTCTCCAGCAGCATAGCATAAACATGAATCTAATCTTTATTGTTCTGTGTCATTTAGGATCAAACTTCTAGTGATGAATAAAAATGTGAGTTCATTTTAAGTTAGTGAGAGTGCTGTTAGTTGTACAATGATGGTATGAAGTCGGCTTTAGGTCTTTGAAATAGATGGTAGCCAACATTCTTAAGTCTGTCATCTTATTCTTCTGTAAATCAGCTTTACTTTTAAAGAAAAATGTCTGGTTAAAATCTTCTGCTGGGATGGGTGGGAATACTGATGCATGGCAACCCACTGCCCCAAGTTTATGATTCTTCAGAGAGAAATTGTGGTGGGAAGCGTATGAATCGGGTTACTCTGTGCTATTGAACCTTAACTCTTCAGTAGAACTGCTCTAGCTCAGTGGCTTAGTGTGTGCTTTGTTTGGAAAAGGTTCAAGGATGGATCTCCCACATCTCCACAATGGACTAAAGAAACTCCTGCCTGAAACCCTGGAGAAATGGTGCCATTCTGTGTTAACAATAGATGAGCCAATATTTTGACTTTGTTCAAGGCAGCTTCCAACAATCCTCTTCTGTCACCCCTGATCTGGCACAATAACTTTTTTCTGGTATCTTCTGAGCAGTTGCTCAAATGCTTTCATAAGAGCCTCCAGGTTTGTGTTTTCCAAGAGCATTTCCATAGGAGGCTGCTAATCAGCTGTTAATCCACTGAATGCGCTTTTGGTTTTGTGGCAGAATTCAGAGCTGAGGGTTAAATCAGGAGTGTTTCCTCTCCTGATTTTCTGCCTAAGTTGTAGGTGGCAATATTATATAGCAGAACTACACAAGTAAAAGGGGGGATTTGCTTTTACAGTGAAATATCACATTTTCCCTGTCCTAAAAAAAAAGTACAACTTGAAATCACAGCATCATCTAGGAATCCATAAAGAACTATGACTAGGAAATGATGAGTGCACCGTTTATGCTTCATATATAAAAGCCTCAAATTTGTGTCTATTGTTTTGCTTAAAATGGGTACAGAAAGTGTTATTGGCTGCAGAACTGGGTAAATATCAGCTAAGATAGCATATTTCTATTTCCAAAACTTAGAATGGAGGGGGAAGTGTTTGGGGAATCCATGGAATATTCAACATGGCCATCATACATTTGAATTTACCTTCTTCTGAAAGGGATACATGACAGCTTGTAATGGCGGATGGTTTCTCAAAAAACAACCAAGGACCAGTCCAATTTTCAAATAATTTTATTAGTATTTCAAAAACAAATCTTATTTTTGTATGCTCTGAATTTTTACATATCACTTAACGTTGGCTGGGGATGAAGTACAAGAAGAAAGAGCTGGCATTTTGCATTGTTAAGTCAGAATTTTTAGTGGATGCTTAAGTGTTTTAATAGTCACTCAAGCCTACTTTTTCACTGTAACATGTGCAATCCATTCAGACATTAAGGAACATATGATCGCTGACGCCAATAGCAATGAAAGGACAATAATAAGTTGACTCAGTAAATTTCCAAAGAGTGACTATAACCAGGGCACTTAAAAAGTGATAACTCAAGTTTTCCTGACGTTCACCATGTTTGGTGCATTACTTCTTGCAAATTCTAAAGAAACTGAACTGATGAAATAGCAGAAGACAAAACCGGAGATGTTCAAAAGATGAGGCTGTTCCAGAAATCTCAGGTTTATTCAACACCTTTCATAAACTCCAGGAATTCTGTCAAAGAAAGAAAGCCAAAGATGCTTGTATCATGATATAACATTTGGTGATTTAGCATGATATAAATTTGGTGATTTGGTGATTTTCATGGCTCTTGCCAGTTCTTTCCTTCCCCACCCTGCATCTGCTGTGCCACATATGGACTTCCCTTTCCCCATGGTGAGCTGTGCTTTTGCAAGGACTGTGTGTATTGATGGTCATGCAAAAGTATGGATTATGCCTTTATCCTTCCCTGCTTCATACCTTTCTTAGGCTAAAATTAGCCTGTTATTTCTCAAGCCAAATGTTAAGGAAACAATGGCTAGAGCTCAAGAGAATTAAGGACTCCAGGTGCATTGATCTCAATGGACCAAAGCACTGTATTGGAGCATTTCTTACATGGATATTTTATTTTATGTTCCTGTGTCTGGATCATCAAAAGCCAATTTCCGATATGGAAGATTGTACCAACAGATTCAACATGAAGCATCAGGAACTGCAGAAGTATTCACACAATGAGCAAACAGGGTGTTCCAGAGACTAGTACATGTACAACATGAGTCAGCAGTGTGATGCAGTGGTCAAGAGGGCTTGGTTGCATAGCCAGAAGTGTGGCTTCTAGATCAAGAGAGGTGTTACTACCACTATACAACTCTGCTGCGCCCGCAACTGGAGTATTATGCTCAGTTTTGGGTCCCTCATTACAGAAAGGATATAGCCAGGTTAGAGTCAGTGCAGCGTAGGGCCACAAGGTTGGTGGCCGGTTTGCAGGGGATGGGGTATGAGGCGAGACTGAGGGAACTGGGTCTCTTCAGCCTGGAGAAGAGGAGACTCAGAGGGGATATGTTGGTGACATACAGGTATGTGAGGGAATGTCACATGGAGATGGATAGAGACCTGTTCTCCCCTGCAGAGGAAGGCAGGACGCAGTCCAACGGAGCAAAGCTCAGGGAGCCAAGGTTTCGTTTGGATGCCAGGAAGCACTTCCTGACAGTTATGACCCCGAGGGTGTGGAATGGCCTTCCCTGGGAGGTGGTTGAGGCCCCATCGGTGCGGGTGTTCAAGGATAGGCTGGACGTCCACATGGTGGGCATGTAGTGAGCGGAGCCAGCTGGTGCCAGAGGTCAGACTAGATGGCCCAGGAGGCCCCTTCTGACTCGCTCTGTTTCTATGTTTCTACAATGCCCCCGAGGACTTCCATCTTTATTTAGCTGGAAGGAACACCCTTGGGCTTTAAGACATAGCTCTAAATTTCAAAGTTTGCATCTCTCTTAGATACATTTCCATCCTGTGCTGCTTTCATAGTTCTTTTTAAATGTAAAATAGCACACAAACACATTCACCATCATAGTCAATCTTGCCATCATTGTTTTTGTCTCCATCCTTCATCAGTTCCTCAATGTCATCTTCAGTTATGGTTTCTCCTGTGGCCTGCAACATCAGCTTTAGCTCATCCAGGTCTATGTATCCATCCGCATTTCTGTAAAAGGATGGAAGATTTCATAAAGAGAAGAGTTTTGCTCACAGAACTCTTAGGCAGTTCTAACCAAGGAAATTTGAATTAAAAATGCATCACCAGAGTTTTGGTTCCTGCTTAAATGTTGGCCCATGAGTGAGGAGAAGACAATCATTGCAGCAAACTAAGCAGCAGTAAAGAAATGATCAGAAAGTCTTACAGTTTAAGTGACGAGAGGAGGAATATAGACCCTTATTTCCACTGAAATAGTAATTGCATTTTTTGCTGTTCTTGCACACATGTCACTGGCTTTAAAAGTTCCAGTGGCAGCAGTGACTAGATTCCTTTGCAACAACTCTCCTTGGCGAGTTGAGTTTGACCTTCCCTTCAGATACGTGACTCCTAATGTATGCTTTTGCAGCTTTGAAGCTACTGGACAGAATTCTGTAGAAATTACCAATTGACTGCAGAGTGTGTGGGCCATCCCTTGGGTAGTATTTTGATCTCTAAGATCAGCTAAAATGTGTTCTCTATCACATCCACATACTCCCCATGTGTGAAGGCTCACAGAAAGATGATCCTGGAGTCTTCTTTACACTCACGGTGCCTTGCTAATTCTAAGATTATATTTTACAATAATTCTGAGATTGTATCTTATGCTTCGATTTTTTAAATGTTGCAGTCTGCTCTGAGTCCTCTGCAACCTGCTCTGAGACAGCACAGGATGACCGTCCAGTTAAATAAATGCCTATAATGGAAGGGCAAACTGGTTGCATCAGATAAGCTGCATGCTTCATGGGTTGTCTCAGCTGTCATTTGCTGCATCATCATCGCATGGCCACAGCATTGCCGCTTCCTGAATTCCACCCCTCTGAGTGGCTTTAAGCTACCGCTTAATTGGTCAAGACCTTCTCCTGCACTAGTTGTGGCCCAAGACAAGGTTACCGTAGATTGAACACTTCAGTGCCACGTAGCTAAAATGAAGATTCTAGTTGTGGAACCGTGTACCTCTTAAATGTGATGGTTTCCCAGTGTGTCCCAGATCAAAGTCAGGAGAACAGGATGATTCCTGTCTTCCCAGATTGACAAAAGGGCTCTGGTTTAGTTCTACTATGAGATAACTATCTTCTTAGCACTGCAGAGGTACACAGAACAGCATGTTTTTACACAGATGTTTATTTTTGTATAGCAGCTGCATATGTTTGAAACACAATACATATAGCTTGCTTCTCTCCATACTGGAAGAGCTCAACATCACATAAACCCCATTGAACTGCATGAGACTAACTTCTGGGTAGATACAAATATGGTTATGCTTTCAGTATATTTTACTGTATTTTATCTTTTTTAAAAAATCTGTAAAATTTAACCTTTTAAAGATCTTTTCAAAATATTTTTAAAATGTAACCTTTTATATCTTACTTTTTGACTGAAAAGCAGTGAATTGCTCTCTTAAATCTCTATAGTATTCTGTGATTCATGACAGAGCAGCTAAAGAAGATGGAAGTCAAAAACATCTTCTTTCAAGACTTTCTGTTTCATTAGTCACTGTAATCTATAAACAGAATTCAAAATTTTCTGTGCTGCACTAGACATTCTAATGGAGATACAGGAGTATTATTTACTAAGTAGAGAGATCAGTTTTGTCTGTATTTTATTGGCCATATTATTACATTTCCATAATACCTCTTAACTTGCATTAGACTTGGACACTATGGAATTCAGGTTGCTGGTTTAAAATTTAGGTTTAAACTACGTCCATGCTATTAATTCTCTTTGATCATGCTGTTCTATCCTGCCTGATAGTTATGCAAACATCATCCCACAGAGCAGAAGTGATTTCCCTAATGAGATTTCCATACCTTTATTTAATCTGCATATAAATGAGGGCATTTTTACCTTGGCTATTTCAAAAGTAAGCGCTGCCTCACAGACTGACCTGATTCTGAATTAAAAGATTTAATTCCTGTAAAATAGGAGGGTTTGCACTGCAACTAAAGGATGTGATTAGTTCTGCCTAGAGGAAGCTCTGATTCCATGAATGTGACCCGCTTAGGTTTGATGAAAACATAGAAGAAATGTTCCTTACTAGAAGATATGCATTAGGTAAAATGGATGCTTTGTAATTCTAAGTATCTTCCCCTCTATTTTCTCTTCTAATACAGCCTTCCCCAACTTGGTGTCTTCTAGCTAATAGGACTGCAACTTCCATAATTCCCCATCTGTCTGGGAATTATGGGAGTTGCAATCCAACATATCTGGAGGGTTACAAGTTGGGGGAGGCTGCTGTAGTATATAAAACTGGAGAGTGTGTTAACAAGAAAGGTATTTTAAGATTCTGATATGCCCAAATTGATGTCCTTCCATTCTTACATTTCTGAATTTTGCTTAAGTTTCTTTCCAAGTTTTGCTTAAGCCTCACCTTACTTGAGTTTACCTTGCTTGGGGCTTATTAATATATCACATCTTCTTTCTTTGTCATTCTGTTTACATATGAATGAAAGCACCACATGGTTCTGTCCTCCATGGCTTGATGTGGAAAACACTCACAGCAAAGCCCCCACCCCAGAGCCACTCGTCATCCCTCCCTTACTGGGGCAAAGAAGCCACAGGGAACTGGAGCTCAGGATGCTCCATAATGAATAAACCGTTAGCGAATATTAAAGAAGATAAGAACCTAAGAAAAGTCCTGCTGGATCAGACCCAAGGTCCATCTAATCCAGCACTCTGTACACACAATGGCAAACCAGCTGCCCATGGGGGTCCTTCAAGCAGGATGGGTGCAAGACCTTCACCTGGCCAAGCTCCTCAACTACTGTGCATGCAGGCAGGCCACCTTTCTATCTATCTATCTATCTATCTATCTATCTATCTATCTATCTATCTATCTATCTAGAAGACTTCTATGCAGCCCCATTCGCCGAAGCCTCGGGGCGGCTCACATACATAAATAAACTTACTTAAATTAATATAAATTAACAGTAAATTTACTTTCTAAGGGAGGTAGCACATAGTCACCCAGGCTAGTAGCCACTAATAACCTTTTTTAGGAGTGGAATGATGAGGACAGAAAGCTTATTATAATAATAAGAGAGGGCATGTCTGTGTTTTGGTCATTAGACTGTGAAATATAAACACCTGGAACTTGGCATGCAGATAAAGGAGACCCAAGAGTCATGCAGTTAGGGTGATTTTCCTTTTGCATCACATTAATTAATCTGAATTAATTTTAATGTGTTAATGTGACTGAAGCCTGCTGTATCATGCTCAGCTGCTAGGGTAGACTTTCCTAACCAGCACATAATTTTCCAAACCATACCATTTGAAGCCAAGGGAGAGTAGTAGGCTAAGGGACAGCCTGCCCTCTCCTCCATGCTGTGGGCAGACCACTCCCCCAGGAAAATGGAGTAGAAAGACCCCTTTCTTAGAAACACAGAACAGTAGCGTTGGAAGGGGCAGAGGGCCATTGGGTCCAACCGCCTGCTAATGCAGCACACCAAGTTACACCATCCCTTTCAAATGGCTGCCCAGTTGCATCTTGAATAGTGTGAGAGAGCCCACAACCTCCCTAGGTCCTCGGTTCCATTGTTGTTCTGCTCTAACAGGAACTTTTCATCATATCTAACCAGAATATGGCTTCCTGTAACTTGAGCCCATTATTCCTTGCCCTGCACTCTGGGATGATCGAGAAGATATCCTGTCTCTCCTCTTTGTGACAGCCTTTCAAGTACTTGTAGTGTGCTATCAGATCTTCCCTTCTCCAGTCTAAACACAACCACTGCTTTCAATCTCCCCTCATACAGCAAGATTGAGGAGAGGCTGCAAGGATGTACTATGGCAGGGCCATTCCTAGGGGTGCCAGTTCGTGTGGGTCTGCTCAGACAAGACGGGCACAAGGTGTCCCACTTTAACAGTTGCGCATGTTCACTTGAAGGCTTCACTGGATCAAACTAAGGGATATTCCCACCCACGCAAAGCTGGGTCCCCTTGCCAGCTTAAAATAAGGAAAGGGTATATAGACTTCACATTGTGTTGGCCCATTTTCATGTAAACTGGTATCTTTTCTGAACTGGATCTAAATAAACATAAAGAGGTGGGCACTATAACAGTGAAGAGGCAGTGTGGAAATTCGTTGGCTTTTCTCATTCCTCTGTATTACTGCTGATCAACCCAGGGCAAGATGTGGATGTCAGAAGCATCCTGGCTCAACTGGACCAGTCCCTAGAGCTGTAACAAAGGCTAACCACAGCACTTACTTGTCAAACATCCTGAAGAGATCTGAAAGTTCTTCTTCCGATTTTCCTTTGCTGTCATCTTTCATACACCTGACCATCATAACCAAGAACTCATCGAAATCTACAGTGCCACTGCCTGTCAATGGGAGAAGAAAACAACCAAGAAAATGGATCCCTCAGCTTGAAAACGTTTCCATAAATATTTTTTCAGAGTTCAGAACTTGGTCAAATATTAGCCATTTACAGAGCTATCAGATATCAGAAAAGCTGGTAGAGATTACTGTTTGTTTCCAATTTGGACAATTCTGTAAATTGCTATCACTCACATCAGGGGTCATCAACCTTTTAGGGCTATATTAACCCATCTTCCCAGGTGCTTATAACCAACCAGAAGAAATGGCTCACCATCCTCATCTACTTCATCTATCATCTCCTGTAGCTCCTCAGGAGTAGGATTCTGCCCCAGCATTCTCATCACCTTCCCCAGCTCCTTGGTGCTGATGCATCCATCTTCTGCACCCAGGACGAAGATATCAAAAGCAGCCTTGAATTCTGAAGGAAGAACCAAAACCCATGATTTATTATGCTGAACTTACCAGTAAAAGCCTAATACAAGCTTCCATAACCTGGTGCTTTAGACAACAATTCCCATCACCCACAACCAGCATGGCAGTTGTTGGGGCTGATGGAAGTTGTATTCCAAAGCATCTGAAAAGTACCAGTTGCAGAAAGCTGAAAACTGTATCAAACTATGCTATGATGAACAGACAATGTCCAGCAACTTTCTATTTCTTTCTTTCAATGATGCCAGCCAGATTGGTTGCCCCTCTAGTATAAATTTGGCCAACTAAAATCAAAAGGCTGAATGAACAACCGAGTTTCTCATAAGGGCATTAAGCAAATACACAGCTCCCATTGTTTTACAGAAGGTTGGAAGTATCCTGCACAGCAGTAGCTAATAACTTAGGGTGTTTTTTAACGCTTTCTTCTTATCTTAGCTCTGCAAATTGGTGATGGAAGAAATCTGTAAATACAGTTATTTGCTTTATAGCTGAAATGAATTTCGTTTGGCACTTTAGACAACTGGATGAACCTCATTAGAGAAAGATTGCAATATTTTCTCAGAATTGAGATGCAATCCACATCCCACAGAAGGTGGCAGTGGCACATTCAATTCTTTTAATGTTTCCAGATTGTACTTGAATGTGTTGCTGTTTTTTAATTTAAAAATGCGTAACATACAATCAAGACAAGCATAGTTCAGCAGTTGTGTGGATACGAGATTAGATGGTTGGGGGGATGGGTTGCAAACAATTTTGAAGCAAGCTACATTCTTCAACTTAGTCCTGAATGAAAGGAAAGAAAGGACTTTCAGAAAGTCTCCTAATTGCACAATGGGACATCAGCCCTCAAGACTGTACTTTTCTGCCTGGACTGCTATATTTCCATGTTTGGAGTGCAAGCTACAATTCACAGCAAGCCACTGAAAATAGCAAAGTTTGGATCCATGTTTAAGCAGGAGCTACTAAACTGGTGGAAATGGGCCTTCCTCACAGCAGCACCTTTTAAATACAACCCAGGGAGTTAGAGGACCCTGCTGAACAAGGGGAGCTGTGACAACAGGGGGGGCATGGAGGTTCCCCCAAAATCAGGTTGAAGCACCTTCCATAAACGGAGATGTAGTAGAAGGCAGATCTTGGATCCAGTCCCAAAATATATTGGCCTTAAAGATGAAGCCTGACAAAGGTTACTGTAAGGATTCCAACCTTTTCCTAAACAGCACTTTGAAGCCAGTATCCATCAGTCCCATTCATAACTGGGAAGATAAATGGCATATACTCACCATTTTTTTGTTCTTCTGTCAACTGCTCAACCTGTTGTTAAAATAAATAATACATAATATTATTTAAATATTATTAATATTACAATAAAGGCCAATTCATTGTTAATCAGATTGTATACATATAACTGTTTATACATTTAGACATCCTGTTAGTTCAGTCAAGTGGATTCTCACTGTGATAAGCCGTGTCAGATGCTTTGGACTTCAACTCCCATCAGCTGTAGCCAGCATGACCGGTTGGCAGAAATGCAGAAATTTACAGCCCAAAGCATCAGTTTAGGGAAGGTTGGTGTGATTCATCTGGTTCCTTTTTCTCATAAGATTTAGCCAGCAGCTCCCAAATGCTGATTTATACAGCATTTATACTGTCTAATGATACTGTCTAATCCTACTAAATGCTGATTTATACAATATCTTTGTGATGTTCTGAACTCAGTGCCTGTTGACTTTTGCTGTAGCTCTTGCAGTTTTGAACCAGGCTTGTGACTGCTTCCAAAATATTCAATTCTCAGCTCGTCATATCTTGGTTCTGCTACATTAACAGAGCTGGGAAGTTATATCATTTCCACCAGTTCATAAGATCAGTTCACCCGCCCAAAGTCACTGACTGAGGCAGCTCATGTTAGAGTCACCATGGAACAAGTTCTTGTGGACTGGAGTCTTGACAACTGGATAATGATTCGCTTTAGCAAAATGGCTGATGGCATGCGCACACAAAAGGGAATCCCTGTTGCTATTCCGAATCATCTAATGGAAATAACTGCAGGATTCCAGTCAATGTGCTGCACTCACCCTTCCATCGGGAAGTGGAAACAGCACACTGAACATGTCATTCAATCCGTGGCATCTTCAAGTATGCCTTTGTTGGGGACTCGGGTTTGTTGCACGGCGGCTTTCTCTGGGTGGAGAAAACACGTGCCAAGCAAAGCCAGGTCCCTGATAGAAGCGTCAGCTGAAGGAATTGCACCTGGTCCTTGGACCAGGGGCCAGGTGATGCCAGGGGCTGTGCCCATGTGCCCTGATGTCATTTAGCCCACGTAGGCTTGAGGAGGCCTGCAGTCTGCCTGCCCTCACATTAGGCTGAGCACTCCTCACCCCTGCTGTGAGAATAACAGGCTGAAGGAGAGCTGGCAAGCCGATACTAAATCCAGGCAAGATGGAGGCTCTTCCAATCAGTGGAGAGGGTTTCAGTTTGGGTATTCAGTTTATTTATTTATTTAGGATATTTATATGCCATCCTTTGCAAAAGCCTCAGGACAGCTTACGAAGATAAAATACAAATATCACCAGTTGTTGCAAGAACTAGTGTCACTCCCTCTGGATCTAGAGTTGGAAGAGTTCTTGGGCCCAGTCTTAAGACTTGGATTTTCTGGTCATAGCCAGGAGCATCTTTACACAATTGAGACAGATTACCAGCTGCATCTCCTTCTGGAACCTTCTGATCTGAGTATGGTAATCAATGCTTTTCAGCTTTTGTACAGAAGGTATTTATTATGCACTTGTCATTCCTTATTCATGGTTGTTTATGGGTACTTTAGAGGATATTGTGACTCTCCAATTTAGATTCTGTTCTTAAATGGCACTTACACTGAGTTTTTTAAAAGCAGGAAAAAATGTGGTACTACATCTAAAAGTAAAAGAAAATGCATTTTCTACTAGTGCATTTGAGCTGTTCTGCTATACCACAGTGCCAGCCAGAAATTACATTAGCAGAAAAGGAAACACTTTTCTGTAATGCTCACATCTAAATTCTCTGATGACACGAAGGCAGATGCAATAGATAAAGCCCTTGGTCATCTCCTCTTCATTAGGATAATATACACCACATGGAGCTGTCTTTGAAGATGTTTGCATGCTCAAATGCTTCAGCCAGGTTTCCTAAGGGGATGCTGTGTGGGGCTCCTGCAACCCACCTTCTTGTACCAGCTGTCTATTCATTTTCATGTGCAATTCAGACTTTCTATTACAAGCAGCGTTCTCCTTCAGTCCTTCAAAGCTTTAAATGGCTGGGAACCCTTCTCTCTGAAGGACCATGACTGTCCATCTACTAATGTTCAAGATTAACAGAGGCCTTTCTCATACTCCCTTTGGAGACTCATGAGGGTCTTTCTTAATCCCCCCCAACCCCCTCTGTAACTCCCCCCCCCCCCCCAAGAGATCAATATGACTTCTTCATAGCTTGCATTTAGGAGGGCAGGTAAAACTTTTCTTTAATCAGCCTTTGAGCCCTTCTACATAGTTTGTGGGTTTTGTTGTTGTTTGCTTAGTTGTTTTAGTATTGTAGTGTGCACTGCTTTGATCTTCTTAGAGAGGCAAAGCAGAAAATAAATAAGTTAAATAGCTAAATAAGTCCAGTAGTACATGGAGATAACTTTCATTGTCAGGGTGGGGGCTGCTATTGCTTCCCCTATATAGACACCAACATCTCACTTTGCCAAACAGTAGAATCAGCCCCTGAAGCAGTGCTTAGTCAAGATGACTATAGGCAACCCCCAGATTTAAAGAGGATGGAGGAGAGCTCTTAATTGTGGACTTCCTAAAGGCATCTGGCTCTGAGGGCGTGAGGGGGGCGGAGGGTGGGGTGAACGCTAGATCAGATGGACTCCTGTGTGATTCAGCTGGACTTCTTTTGTTTTGAATTTTTCCTTCTTTGAGACCCTCTTCAAGATCAAGACTCACATTGTTGGCAAAGCAAAGTTGAACAAAACTACCCTCAGTTTCAATATGTACCACCTGACCCAATAGGGATCATCACCACGAATCTTTGGGGAATGAATCTCTGTGCTGTATTGCACACTGTTGGTTGTAAATAAAGATGTGAGATGCCATCAGGCACATTAGCCATTTTCTTGTGCCTCTTCTGGGTTTTATGACTCCAATGTCCCTTATCAGCAGTATTCTGCTGTGCTTCTCTTCTGATAATCTCTTTGGAATGAACCGATGCTCATAAATAAATTTTGCAAACCCTTCTGCAGCTATAAAGTTGTTTGTGGAGCCAGAGCTGGCCTATAAAATTGCTGACCTATAAAAACAATCTATCTTACAAAGCTGGCATTTTATTTAAAAGGAGCTGGAAGGCTCCAGAAGATGAATCACGGAGGAGGTGGAGGCAGACTTGACTGTATTAGAAACAGATAACAATAGCAGCAAGACATCTGTTCAAAATTTCATAGTGAAAACTGATCCCATTTATCTAAGCCGCTGTGATGGAACTGGGCAGCTGAGAGTTGCTTTTTCATTGTAATGACAAAAACAAAATAAAAAAACACCCTGCATATCCCCAACAGCCCTGGGTAGCTGGAGACAGCAAACTGATGCCTCTCCTCATGCTGTGTCCCACATAGCTTGACTATTTTGGCATGCAGGCTATTTTTATGCCCCAGTGCCTGAGGAGCTGGCAAGAAAGATAACACTTCTGATTGTTCACAGAAGCTGACTGACATTAGTATTTTTTGCTGGAGACTTTTATCCAGACATATGGCCCTGCCAGTGGTCTTTGTGCAGTTTGTGAGCTTCTGGAGGCCATTCCAAACTTAGCTCTGCATGAGAAGTGAGTGGGCAAGGTGATACATTCGCCGGATTCCTGCGCTCCATATGAGCTTTATCATTCCATACCCATTTAAAGATGTCATCGAGTTCACCATACATGAATGAACAACATAATCATGATGCTCTTCTTTCATCTCAAGCTAGACGCTGTTTTTTGTGGAGTCATGACAAGTGTATCATCCTTGAATGAGAGAGACCTGGGTTCAAATTTTCACTCGGCTACAAACTCCAAGAATGCCAGCCTCTGCAGGTTACCCCTCTCAGCTTAGCCTATTTTGTAGGATTGTCGGGAAGATAAAATAAAATAGCTGCCCTCAGCTTCTTGAAAAAAGGAAGAGATACAAAATGCTACAAAGTAAACAGATTATAAAGTAATAAAGTCAAAGGCTTCACTTTAGGCCAGCCTACCCAGACCGGAGCCCTCCAGATACCTTGAACCCACAGCTCCCAACATTTCTGGCCACTGGCCAAGCTGGTTGGGGCTGATGGGAGCTGAAGTCTAAAACGTCAGGGCAACATCAGGTAGGGGAAGGCTTAGTCAGCCCATGAAGGCAAGAGCAGGGCTGGAGACCCTCAGGCCTGGGGACCCAAACAAGACCAGCTGGGGTCCAAACCCCACACTGTCCACACCCCTTTCACCCAGCCCCCATCAGTGAGAGGCTTTCCAAGCTTTCTGAAGTTTTTCCACTGCTAAAAAGTTGAAATTCCTCTCCTTAAAGTTTGGATATGAGCACTAAGAGCTTCCAGCTACAATCATCTGGTATTTCGTTCCCACCCCTTTTGTCCCCTGTGCCCTTGGTCCTCTCCACCAGCAGAACAAAGCCCCAAAACAGCTTCCCCAGAACGGAATTTGGCTGAATCTCCAGCTGAACAAGGTTCCCCATCCCTGGCATGGCACTGTTGTGTTGTCTCCCCAGAGCCCAAAATGGAGATTGGAAGAATTTGGCTTCTGCCATCAGTGATGAAGAGCTTACTAGATAGCTCCAATTCTCATCCTAAAGCACAAAAAAACCAGTAACTTCCCCCACACTGTATAAAATAAACACCTAAGGGACATAAAGGCACTTATCTATACTAAAAGTACAGTAAATACTGCTATTGATAATGGCAACAAAATGTTCTTCCGTGTATTTGAGCCTATTCTCAGTAGTGTTCTGTCCTCAAAATATGGACTTGGGAATTCAATAACCACCAGCTGGGTTGCCGTGACTTGTGAGGTGTCACGCTTTCTTCAAGGCTTGTAAACAGAAACATGCAAAATCCAGATGCCGCTGTGCTCTCAGGTGTTGCCTTGTATTTGCCTTTGTTTAAAAAGACTCTTTTGCTTTTTAGACCAAAATGTGTCCACTGCCCAAGCATGGTTTTGCCTTGGTGGATTATTTACAGCATTAAGCAGCTGCTTAAACCTACTTTGGGAAGCTTAGCTTTGACCAGGATATGCTCAAAGCAGGAATCCTCCTTCGCCCATCTGTCTTATTAGGGTTTCTTAATAACAATCTGAGCCACAGAAGAAAATACACCCGATTACGCTATAAATAAAGCAAGGATTCTCCCCACAATTAAAATGGAATTAGGAAAGGCATTTCTATTATTTTCATTCATTTCTCCAATTATTCATTTGACTTATTTTTGAGCTCAGTTCCTGACAATTGATGGGGATTGGATGTCCTTTCCCCATTTAGCATGGCATATTACTTTGTAATTCATTTTAAAGAGAAATAATTAAAACTAATAGATATAACAATATGAAAATGTTATTTTTCAAGTAAACCCAGTTGTTGACAAATAAGGAGGAGAGACAGTAGACTAATTCCAGAACAAATTCTTCCGCTTGAGAGGGGCACTTACGAAAATATGTATTCAAAATATAAATGGTAAGTGGTTGCATTGCTCATAGTAGTAATAATAAATATTTTGTCTACAATAGCAATAGAAAGTCAGTTTCAAATTAGATCCAGTCCTGGGCAGAATTAAGCATATTGAAGCCAGGGTTAAACACCTCTTTCTCTTCACAGGACTGGGCTACAATGCAAGCGTTCACTTTCATAAGAACAAAACCTGGTAGGAGTGCATTAAAGTAATATGAAAATGCATTTGCAAAGAAATTGCTTGGAAGCAGAACATAAACAGCATAACATATCTCTGCACCAAAAGAAAAACTTCAATCAAAGGTTTTACATTTAACATTCACAATAGAACATTTACATAACTAAGCTGTGTAGCTTCCAGACTGTATATTCAAATCCATTGCACCTGGTTAAGACATGCAGCAGAATCCTAAGCATGTTTTCTCAGGAGCACGTCCCAGTCTTTGATTTGTCCCATCATGTATGAAAATCTTACTTACTGCTGCCTTGTAAATATCATCCATAGCTGGTGATTGTTGATCAGGAGCTGAGAGGAGATGACAAAGTGTACAGAGACAAATATCAGTACTCTGCTAGCTCTTCGTCCTTTGACGCTTTGCTTATATAGCAGGCTGTCAGCCCTAAATGTGTCATTCAGGAACTGCTGATTGCTACACAGCCAAGCATATATAGATACACCCGTGAAAGGCCAGGGTATCCATTCCAAGCAAAACTCTTCATCCTGTCTTAAGGGGAGGTATGCAAAGTTTGTTACAGCTGACATTTCCAAAGCCGGGTCCTGATGCCACTGATGCTTTGCTTTTTTACTTCAGTGGATACAGAAGCAGAAGCTGATCTTTGCTATGTGTATGCTTATTTCAGGAATTAGATGGCACATGGACAGAATATTGGGTCTCACAGCCCACATTTGCTGCGGGCTTTAGCCTGGCTGTCCCCACATTCATCCACATGAGTGATGAGGGTAAGCACAAAACCGGCGTTCATCATCCAATATGCCCAGCTGATTTTCCACCAAAAAAACAGAGGTGTCCTACTAGAAGAATGGCCCATTTTAATGTCTTTTCAAGATTCCATATGTGTACTACACTGCCAGAGAGAGAGAGACATGGGCCTTATTGCTTGCCGACATGCACTTTTAAGACTGTCAAGAGCAGATGCTGATACATGACTTCCGCAGACAAGTGTATTATTGTTGCCGTCCTCTCTCCAATGGAAATTCCTCATTCTATGGGAATCGCTTGCTCGAAAGTGCTTTCACCGAGCAAAATGTAATGGGACAGTCTTCAAGGAGAACAAGAGCCTGAATGCTTTCCCTTCAGATGTGTTCTGAAGTTGTACAAGCTGTATGAGAACCCAAAGCCCTGACCCAACTTTTGCTGTGTTCAGTGCAAAAATCTGTGTGACCCGATTACATTATTACTCTAGGTGATGATCATTTGCTTTTAGATCGCACAGGTAGAGACCTTGCTAGGGAGAGTATTTCTATTCAACAAGAAAGAATCTTCTTCACTGATTCAGAGCTCCCTCCTCTGGCCAAGGGTGTTGCATACGACTGTAAAGGAAGCCAAAAATGAACTCGCCAAGAAAAGTACTCATGTAGCATTTACATGTGCACATTAAATGAACAGAGCTATGCAGACAAGAAATCAATCATTTTACATGGATTTCCAGGGGGATAATCATGATGGTCTATAGCCAAAACAAAAAACAAAACAAAAATATCCGAAAACAAAAACAAGATGACAACTAACAATTTTATTCTGGCATGAGCTTTTGTGAATTCCCTGGACTGACAAAAAGACAAATAGATGGCTCCTGGATCAAATGAAACTAGAGTTTTTTCCTAGAAGCAAAAATGGCAAAACTTGGGCTGTTGTACTTTGGGCACATCAAGACAAAGCAAAACTTCCTGGAGAAGACAATCATGCTAGAGAAAGTTAAATGGAGAACAAGAAAAAGAAGACCAAACATGAGGTGGATTGACTCCATAAAGAGAACCACAGCTGTGAATTTAGAAGAGCTGAGTAGGACTGTCATGGATGGGACATTCTGGAGGGCTTTCATTCAAAGGGACACCATAAGTCCGAGATAACTTGAGGCCACAAAGCAAAGCATTCGTGGATACCGTCCTCTTCATCAGATTCACGAAGCATTCAACTCAGATTGGCAGATTTATATGCACATTTTTGTGCTGAGAGAGATGCAAGTTGTAGTGCATATGCTTTACATATAGTAAACCCCACCTTCCACTCCTGGCTTCTCCCTATAGAGCTCGGCAACAATGCTGCCTGAAGCCTTGGGGAGCTGCTTCCAGGCCCTGAGAGGGAGCTTCTTATGTTCCTATGAAATGCAAAGAGTACAGAAAGCGCTGTTTACTTTAACAGTTGCTATTCATAAAATATGGCTGGGTGATAACACACAGCCACACCTTTGTCTTTTTTTCAACCCAAAAGACATAGAGCTGAATCTCTGGAAAAGTTATGCTTCAGTAATTCTATCTCTCTTTGAAACTCTATCATGCATACATTTTTATGACAAAAATGTTTTGCTCATTAAGGTGTCACAAGATTCTGGCCAGTTTTTTAAGATCAAACATCTCACCATTGTGTGGGTGGGTAGCCATCACTACCTTGCTGCAGCTCGCCATATTGTGCTTGTCTTGTTTCATAAATGATGATGCAGGTCTGTCTTGTTCTTTACGGAAACAAATGTATTAATAAACAAATGAACAGTTCAGTTGCTGTGTTGCAAGGAGCTCTCCATCTCTGGAGCTGGCCTGCTTCATCTGTCAGCAAGCACACACTACTTCAAATGTAGAGGCTGTAGTCCAACAATACATGAAGGCCGCTGCATACTCATTGCTGCTCTATACTATAAGACTGCAGCCAAAGGAGCATTTGTCAATCATTCCCTTTCGTAGGGTCAGCCTCACCTCCAGCTTGCAATATTGCAGGATAGTCATTAGCTATGGATGGGAGTGTATGACTAATAATGATGAATTGTTTACGTAGCAGGACTGTCATAAACAACTCTTCATCATGCCTTGAAATATGGAGCTAATAATACTGGCCTATTACCATTATCATAATAGAAAGATTATCATTAATTTCTTTCACAAAAACAATTATTGTGGCATCTTAAAAATTATCACGTTTATTTTACCACAATATCCCACCTCATATTTTTAATATAGGAATAGTTAAAGGTTTAAATATTAAACTGTACAATTCTCAGAAGCAAGCTCCACTGACTTCAGTGGGACTTAGTCCAGGAGAAGTGTAACTCGGATTACAGCCGAGCTTTGATTCTCTTGGAGAGTGGGGTTAGATTTCCTAATCCCTGGGGGAAGAAAGACCTTGGGAATTCCACCCCAACCTCTCCCTTCTATCTTTTCTTAAAAGCAGACAGAGACTACAGGCATTTGCAGTTATAGCACAGTTTTAATGCCTAAAGATCAAATAAATAAATTCATAGAATAGTATGGTTAGAAGGGGCCAATTAAGCCATTGGTCCAGCCCCTTGCTGACTCAGGACACCAAGTTACACCATCCCACTCAGACTGCCTGCCCAGTTTCACCTTGAATGTCTCTAATGTGGGACAGCCCATGCCCCCTCCAAGCAATGGTTCTACTGTCCTCTTGTTCTGACAGTTAAGAATTTTTTCCTGGTGTCTAACCTGAATCTGGAGTGCTGTAGTTTATGTTCATTGTTCCATGTTCTACACTCAGGGATGAGAGAGAAGAGATCCGTTCGTTCCTCTTTGTGACAGCCTTTGAGGTACTTGTAGAGTACTATCATATTCCCTGTAGTCTTCCCTTCTTGAAGCTGAACATGCCCAGCTCTCTCACCCTCTCGTTGCAGGGCTTCGTTTCTAGACCGTGGATCTTCTATGTTGCCTCCCTCTGAACCCCTTCTAGTTTTTCTGCCTCTTTTTAAAACCTGGGCACCCAGAACTGAGCACAGTATTTTAGGTGAGTTCTGACTAGTGAAGACTAAAGGGGAAGTAGTATCTCTCTTGTTCTGGGAGTGATCTTTCTATTTAAGCACCCCAAAATAGCATTTGCCCTTTTTGCAGCTGCATTGCATTGCTGGCTCATATTTAGCTTGCTGTCCACAACAATTTATTTATTTATTTGTTTGTTTTATTAAAACATTTCTATGCCTCTTCATTCGCCGAAGCCTCGGCGCAGCTCACAACATAAACTTAAAATACAAGAAATAACAATATAAACAATCCAAGGTCTTTTTCTTCTTAGTGCTGCTGAGCCAGGTATTCCCCATCTTGTATAGATGCATTTGGTTTTTTCCACTAAGTGGGTAACTTGGCATTTATCTCTGCTGAATTTCATTTTGTTGCTTTCAGTCCAGCATTCTAGCCTGTCTGTATCACCCTGGATCTTCTTTTGTCTTCTACGGTGTTAACTATTCCACTCAGTTTTGTGCCTCTGAAAATATAATTATCATTTCCTGAAACCTCTCATGTAGATCATAAATAAAGAAGAGCACTGGTCCCAGGACTGACCCTGTGGCACCCCACTTGTTCCCTCTCTTCAGCTTGAGAAACAGCTGATGAGCACTCTTTGTGACTGGTTTTGTAGCCAGTTGTGCATCTACTTAACAATAGCTCTGTCGAGATCACTTTTTGCTAGTTTTTAAATAAAGATTTCACGGGGCACTTTGTCGAACGCTTTGCTAACGTCTAAGCAAATTATGTTCACAGCTTTTCCACTGTCCATTTGCGAGATTACCCATCAAAAATAAGATTAGGTTAGTTTGGCATGACTTATTCTTAAGAAATCTATGCTGGCTTCGGTTCATCACGGTATTTTCTTCAAAGTGCTTGCAGAGCGATTTTTAAAATAACTTGTTCCAGTACTTTCCCAGGGACTGATGTTAGAATGACTAGTCTATAATTCCTCAGTTCGTCTCCCCGCCAACACTTTTTTTTTTTTTTTTTTTTTTTTGGAAGATGAGGACAACATCAGCTCTTCCCGAGTCGTCGGGCACGTCCCTGTTTGCCAAGAATTCTCGAAAATAATAGATAGAGGTTCAGAGAGTTCTTCCGTCAGCTCCTTTATGCCTCTAGCATGGAGCTCGTCGTGGCATTGCTTGTAACAAAGACTTAACATTACAGAGAAAAAGCTATATGTATTGCTATGTTTAATTTTTGGAGGGGAAAGGCATGCGGTACGGCATACGCTGGGTGGGGAACGTACTTGCATTTCTCCCCCGTCTGCCTCCCCCTCCCCGTCCCAGTCCATGATTCCCGAACTATCCCTTTCATCCAGTGAGCGGAGGGAATCTGGACTCAACCGTAACCCGGAAGTCCCTTCCCCCGAACGGAGCAATCTCATCCTTTTTATAAACATGCTTCTCCCCACCCCTTTCTTTCTATCTCTATGGTCCTGCAGTTTAGCTCCTCCTCCTGGCACTCAGCCACGCCCCGATGTCCACTTCTCTCCTCTTTCGCGGACTGGCAATAAAGTTTTCGTGGTCGGGTGGGGCCTCTCTCACCTTTCTGTTCCTCTTCTGCCCCGCCCCCTCCGACCGCCCCGCCCCCAGAGGAGCGACGAAGCGGGCGAAGCGAAAA